CTTTTCTTATTCGCATGGTAGTTACTGTGAGGCCGCCAGAGATGCTTGCTGAGTACAGTGGTGCCACCACAGAGTTTCCATCTTATAACATGACTCAGATGATTCGGCACAGTACACGTACAGCACCTAGTCAGCCGTGTCATTGTCCTGAGGTGCCAGAGACTGCAGCCCAGCAGGATGATATTATCAGGGGTATTGCAGCTACTGAGGAGGAGGAGCTTGCTCAGTAGGAGGGAGTGGTCGTGAGCGACCCCAGTGACAGTTCTGATGATGACTACCAGCTCGTCCCTCGGATGCCTCCTCAGCGACATGATCATGAGGCCAGCAGCTCCAGTTCAGTGCCACCTACCTCACAGACAGACCTCGCTCTCCTTGCTATACTTGAGCGGATGTGGCAGGACCAAGCACGCCAGGCTCAGGAGACAACTGCTACATTTGCAGAGTTCTACAGCAACAGCAGCAGGCCATGCATCAGCAGCAAATCCTTATGTAGCAGCAGCTTCTTGGATTTATGTAGCATGTAATGACAGCTATTGGGGCTCCACCAACCTTTGCCCCAGCTTGGTCAGCATGCCACCAACAGCAGCAAACCACAGCCTTTGCCCCAGCTTGGTCAGCATGCCACCACTTCGATGACTCCAGCGTTATAGCCCAGTGGGCTTCAGAGTCAGGGATAGCCACCTGCACAGTTTACTTCACCTACAGAGCAGGTGTCCCAGTGGTTTGCTACATCGGTGCCAGCCCCGCAGTTCACACCTTTTCAGACGGGCTTCACACCGGCTGGGACGTCCTTGCTGCTAGTGCCAGAGACCACAGTGTCCAGGAGTCTTGGAGCTTCCTTTAGTAAGTTGACAGGGATGCCTACTCCTACATATCTATATGTCCCAGGTCCTTCTATAGTTGCACCTATTACCGGTACTACAGAGACGCTCCCTTCCTCAGTGGCATCATCGGAGCCTACTATAGTCATACCAGCTCAGTCTACAGCAGCTCCAGTTCCTAATCCGACCCAGACTGCTACAGCATCGCTTCTAGCTACAGAGGGCCAGACTGCTCAGAGCTCAGGGTCCGATGATGATGGCACTCAGTTCCAGCTTGCTCCTCGTACCTCAGCGCCCGGCTCGTCCGCTGCAGCCCCGCCGACCGCCCCTTAGGTTTTGGTGTTTGATGTCAAAGGGGGAGAAGGTTTGAGTATGTTAGACTTAGGGGGAGCGACATATTTAGGGGGAGCTTAGTTATTATATTAGCTTATATATTACATTTGGAGTTTTTATGTGTGATACACTACTATGCATTCATCGTGTGTTTACTTGTTATGCATTAAGACTATATTTATGTGATAGTGATATCTACGTGATCGTGATATATGACATGTGTTCTCTCTACTTTGAATTATTTATATGTCATATCACTTGTGCTATGCTCATTTGCTTTTGCTTCCACGTTTCACTCCGATACAAATGAGCTTTATTACTTGTACTCATGCTTATTTCATATCTTTTGAGTACATCATGTTGGCTTGGTTCATATAAGCTTGCCTAACTCTTTTGTTCTTATTGACAAAAGCTTATATGATCCAAGCATGTTAAAAACCTCATCTCTTTCACATACTCGAGGTGGTATTGTCATCAATCACCAAAAAGGGGAAGATTGAAAGCATCTAGGCCCCTAGTTGGGTTTCGATGATTAATGACAATACAAGATTACTATGACTAACGTGTGTTTTGCAGAGGCAATTAAGTTAGGTCATGGTAATGGAGATCGATTGGGCAATCATTGTGGTCATGCCCCTACGATGGAAATCATTTCGGTTTTCAAAGGATGGACGACGAGGTTAAGGATGGACTAGTTCTAAGTGTCGATTGGAGTTGGAGAGACACTTAGAGTAGTTTAGGATTTTGTTTTTCCTTTGGATGTACTATTAAGGGGGGTATGGACGGGTAGCTTGACCTAAGTGAGTTTAGTGAGTTAGGTGTGGTGCACACTTGTTAAAACTAGCACTAGGTAGCTCCAAAACAGCCCTTAGATCTAATGGAGCAAACTTCATTCACATATGATCGAGAGTTGAAAATGAATGGAGGGTCAAATACTGACCGGACGCTGGTTCCAGGTTGACCGGACGCTGGCGCAGAGTCCGGTCAGTTTATTTGACCAAGGTGATTACGTCTGGCGCGATCGGACGCTAAGAGGTCAAGTGACCGGACGTTGAGAGGCAGCGTCCGGTCGACTCCAGTAAGGTTCCAGAGAGGGAAAATTGTGACCGGACGTGTCCGGTCAGTGCTGATCGGACGCTGCCCAGCATCCGGTCACACTGTAAACACTAGAGGTCGGGGTGTACTGATCGGAGCGTCCGGTCAACATGACCGGAGCGTTCGGTCAACCCGCAGAGGCACATAACGGTTCGTTTTTCAGCCCATGTTATAAATACCACCTCCACTCGTGTGTGGGGGTACTTTTGCTCATTCCAACAGCTGAGAAACACGTTTGAGAGTGCCAAGAAGAGCAAGGTCCTAGTGAGATGATTGAGATTTGAGAATCCCAAAGAGAGCCCTCATTAGTGAGATCAAGAGTAGCAAAGTGTGCATCCACCCATCTCATTAGGCTTGTCGTGGTCAAGTGAGAGTTCGTGCTTGTTACTCTTGGTGATCGCCATCACCTAGACGGCTTGGTGGTGATTGGGAGCTTGGTGATCATCCGGAGATCTTGTGGATGACCCAACTAAAGTTGTGAACAGTTGTGGGTGATTCACCGTGACAGAGTGTCGAAGAATCAACCCGTAGAGAGCACTTGATCCTTGCGCGGATTAAGGGAGAGCTACACCTTTGCGCGGGTGCTCCAACGAGGACTAGCGGGGAGTGGTGACTCTCCGATACCTCGGTAAAACATCGCCGCGTTTCCTCTCCTATCTATTTACTTTGAGCATTTACTTTGAGCAATTCAATTTTTGTTCTTACATTCATAGAATTGCCATGCTAGAGTAGGATTCGAACTTAGGTTGCAAGGCTTTTGTGCGTTAGTTCAATAGAAACACTTTCTAGGCACAAGGGATTAATTGGGCTAACCGTATGACTTAATTATTGCAAAGAAATTTAGAATTAGCCTAATTCACCCCCCTCTTGGGCATCTTGATCCTTTCAAGGACGAAAATGTAAGCGAGGTGTTACGTGTATGCAAACCCATTCCACGTGTGGAGCTAGGCCATATAAACAGTTTTTGAACGCGGGTGTTACAGCCGTGGCACTGGCTTCTTCCCCTCCCCCATCCCGCCATGGCAAGCTCTGCGGCCATGGCGCCCCCGCCCCTCTCTGGCCCGGTCGCCTCCGCTGCCGCTAGGACCCCTAACCACCCGACCACCTTCCCTGCCGCCTGGCCGGCCTGCCTCCCCCCGACCGGCCCCTTCTATGCCCGCCGGAGCTAGGAAGAAGAGGGGGAGATACCGGAGAGAGAGGACGTAGGCGAGGCGCCCACCGGAACCCAACCTCCTTCTTCCTCTCCGACGCAGGTGCAAGCCCCTTCCTCTTCCGCTCCATCGGGCACAGGCGCGGGCGCGTGGGTCGCGCGAGCGCACGGCCGTCGCGTAATAAACTTTGCGTACCATTAATCCATACATTAAGGACATCTATGAACTTCTGCAAGTGAGTCGTCATGTGTAATAATTAATGGATCATTAATCCATACATTAAGGAGACCTATGAACTTCTGCAGGTGAGTCGTCAGGTATAATAATTAATGGATCGAAATTAATTATTGACCAAAAGATAACATCAAAGTGTATCCCGTTTCTTTGCCAACAAGAAGAAATTTTATATTCCATCGAACAATTTAGATGAAGCACAATCCCATGTACAGATCATGGAAATCCATGATCTTTATATTTATAAGTGTATAACCCAACAAGAGATGACCCACTCGTTTAGCTTGAACTTTTTGACCGTATAACCACCGTGTCGGTCCTTTTTGTCGATGTTTTTTACAACTAGCACAGGCCAATAATGGCAAGCACTCCTATCAAAAAAATAAAATAAAATAATGGCAAGCACTAGTAAGAACAATCCCTAACTATTCCAATTTCCAACTGACTACTAGTATGTATGACATTCATCTTCTTTAATTAAAGTCCAGTTCCAATAAAACAACATTTCATACAAAGATTCACATGATTAGTGTTTATCCGGGATATTTGTATATAGTTACACAAACTCTTTGTTCACTGGTACATACGCAAAATCGCCTGCATAGTTCAATCCTGCAGTGGCTAAGCCTGGTGGTGCAGTCACGAGAATCGAGTGGAACTTGAGGCGTTGTTTGGCGGGATTATGTGCTTCCCTCAACTGCTGCCGCGAAAATGCAGGTCCCAAACATGGCCAAGGAGTCCTGTAAGTATCATGCCATTACCCACCTTAATAATTCTACTGTTCAATGCAGTATATTCTGAGTAACATAATAGTAAACCCAAAAGCGTTCACTTTGTTCTCCATGTTTCCCTGTGCCTCTGTGGTTCTGATTAATTGACCTGTCATTGCCAATAATTCATTTCCCCATTCAGCCATTGTTATCAGCATAGCATACTAAAATCTATCAGCCAGCTTCCTACTGACAAACAGTCACCCATAATTTTAATGGGTTATACAACAAACCTTGAGCAAAAACCACTCGAAAATAATGCTCAAGTACTCAAGAGAGCAGAAAAAAGAAAGTAAAAAGATCTATTTAACATCCAAAACATAAAACTGGAACATGTTATTTGTTTTCTTGCAGAAAATGACAAACACCAGAGACTAGGAAAAAAACATTCACGACATGATATTTATCAGCTGCAAGCACCTCGATAGTTTAGTACTAGATACCATATCTGTTTCCAAAATGCGAGGACTGGCCTACACTGCTGAGTCAAATGCACATCAATTATTAACCCGCAGAGCTTTCCTTGACTGAAGTATCAAACGTCTTGTATCACAAGTTTATATTACGACAATGACCCACCCACAACATGATCCCTACTAGGCTTCGGGGGGTGTAGTGGAAGCGATGCTAGCTCGAGCTGGCGCTAGTAGGCCTTCATTGTCATTGATGTCCTCGAGCATCTTGTCTTCTTCCACAGATTTATCAGGCGCACCCACCACAGCCTGAAGCTGCCAAATGCCACGATGCTTCTTCTTTGCATGTTCTTGGAACTCCCCCAGGTATTTCATGGTAGCCCTCCTCTCCCATGATGAGTTCCACCTCTTCCTGTCGAGCTGAGCCAAGCCATTCTGCTGACAAGCAAATAATTAAATAGACTAGAAATAATGCAGTACATCAGTAGCCACTGTACGATATTATTGTTAGCTAAATGCATTATCAATATCAATTGAGAACTAAAAATAGGTACCGTGTTTTTCAACCAATCAATGGGAAAAGTGAGAATACCATACCTCTAGCATTGCAGCACTGATGCTGCATTCAGCATCTTCATCATACATGCTCACAATAAGTACTTCTCCAGTTCCTTGTCCTTCTAGCTTCGCTCCCACACTGCCGCGCTCTTCGACTGTTGCCTTGAACTTGAACTCTCCCTCATTATCAAGCAAGAGCATTCTTAGATACGCTGCAGCTTTTTCACCAAGGTCATCCGTTATGTCAGGAACTACAACGAATGCAAGACTGCACAGCTTGGCTAGTGGAGGAATCACGGAAATAGAAAATTTCGCAGGCGCAGGTCTCAAGTGGCTGTAAGTAACTGTCTCTTGGTTTCCATAATCAATATAAAACACCTCGAACTCCCTCTCTGTGGGACCCGGATGTTCACTCACAATCTGCGCAGAACAGGAAATTATGAGTGTATATTCACAATTTGACATACGGACAGGAGTCTAAGGAAAAAAAAGAGAAGATAAAGATTTAGGATTTTTCCTAGAGATGTAAAGTTGCAGACCAAAAAACCTTGAGCAAAAAATATATAAATATAAGATATATAACATTGGGTTTCATCATACCATGGCTCTGTTCCAAGAATTATCGAGGCTGAACTGGGCTAAAACCACATCTCCCTTTGTTGGATTAAATGGAATATCATTTGATGGATCTTTAACTTTAGAAGTGTTTGACTCTTCAGCAGATTGAACTTCACCTTTCATAGTATTTAGGTGATCTTTAAACAAACTAGACCATCTAACAGGAAGAGGATGAACCAAATGATTATGTGGCTTTACTTTAACTTCCAAAGTATCCGGTTGAGTATTTATTGTTTGATCTTGATTTTCCAACGTATCAGAGGTATCTTTAGAAGTTTCTGATATTTCATTGAATTTCAGAGAAGCAAGCTGTTGTTGGATGTTGTCCACGCGATGGTCACCAACTATATGGGCATAGAACTTTCCACCACCAAGGACTTCAGTTACAATAACCTGAAAAGAACATGAAGCAAAAGTTAATTAGAACATTTGTATTGTGCATGTTTTCATGTTACAGCAAAAAAAAAAAAGTAGACAAACATTGAAAGTCTCTTTTCCATTTTGTTCAGTCATGGATCCTTGGCGAATGACTTCTAGTTCATTGTAATTCTCCCACACCTGGAAAGCAAGAGTGCTATAATTAACTGAACATTTACATGTTCTCTATCTATTATAAAAACAGAAATACATCACCTTCAGTTTCTTCTGCTTTGCGTTTTTTTCTGCCTCGATGAGATTTTGAGCATATGGATTCCTGTCGAGTCCAAATGAACTAAGTCTGGCTAGGCCAACTTGAAGAAGAACAGAAGCCATATTGGTCTTGGACTCCCATAAGGAACCTAAGAATGTTCCATTCTTGTCCACTGCTTCAATCTCAATCTGCATAAACACGTGCACTCAACATCCTTTAGAGAAATGAATAGCCAAGAATATGAACAGAGCGAAAAGAAAAATGTAAATAGAAGTAAATGAACGTAATGAACAAGAAGCTGCAAATAGACAATCAAATGAAAAAGGAAATAGGAAATAATGTACCTCCACATCACGTTGGAGTATCCTTCTTCTCATCAAGCTAATGGCATCATCTGAGTAGGGTTCGTTTTTACCAGGGCACCGGACACAAGAGAATGAAAAGGCAATGGTGCTTGTCTCATGAGGTATTGTTAGTTTGAAGCGGTGGCCACTAAAAATGTAGTCAACAACAGCAGAATGCTTTTTATTTCGCTGCAACAAATGGAAAAACTCTCTCGCCTTCTTTGCAGGAACCTAGAAAATGAAGTTGGATTAAATAAATGATCTGAGGCAAGAAACAACAACAAAAAAACTTTTCTAGCAAGAGAAAAATCCTAACTGTTGTCAAATCATTTATGTGAGTCACAGGATAATCCTTTTTGGAGTGATATCCTTTCTTTGCTTTTTCAGCATGTGAATAGGCCCCCAGGAGTGCATCATAGTGGTGTGACCTCTCCTCATAGTCCCGATGTCGTGTGATATCAGCAAATCCTCGCGAGAGCAGGAGCACAGCCACATTGGCTCCAAGCGGGTAGCTAGAGCTATTAGGGGAAGGAGAACCAGTTCCATCAACCAGCGAGGGTAGGAAGACGGATCCATAATCTAAAACTCTGGTGCCAACTTGGTTGGTTTTGTCAGTGACAACTTGTCCATTTGCAATGTTGATTCTCCTAGAATACTCCATTGAGACATGAACCTGAACGTTTAAAGACTGAAGGAGTCAGATCATGAGATCAAATTTTAAATTTTAAAGAACAAAAATTCTATGTTCTTTTTTCAGTTTATCACTAACAAGTAGTATATTGTTTTAAAAAGAACAATACATTTCCCATACCTGTTTACCAATTAGTTGTGTGCGCAAGAATTCCTTGGCTGCACGAGCAAAATGTTCAATAGTTTCACTCTGTCCAGAAGGATGAACCAACTTAGGAGCTCTTATGCTAGAAAGATTTACTCGGCGTTCTTCCAAAGGACTTCCACAAGGCGCAACATCATCAGCAACAATTACACAGTACCCATTCACCACCTCTATGACCTGTAGTGATATTAATCCAAACCATATAGTATAAATGATAGTGCATGGCCAATTAAATAGAACCTATGCAATCTTTACAACCATGGAATGTAAGATTTTCCAAAAAGATTATATAATTTGTTAATAATTTTTAAAATAACAGAGATGAATCTTCAAATCATGTGCATTAACAGAAGTTGATGTTCCCATAAAAAAACAGTTGTATTATATTTAAACCACCCTATGTAATTCCAAAATAAAAGAACTGCGTACTTTTGGTCACACCCACTCATCCAGTACCATATTTGATCGATGCACTTGACCAGAGGTTACAAACATGAAGGCGCTCAGCATGTTACCCTCATTGCTACTTATTCCCCATAATTGATAAGAGGAAGACCACATTAAGCCACAATTTAGCAGCCGCCCCTTCAGTTCAATCTGTGCACATATACAGTAGTAGGATCCAATTTTCTGCGCAACTTTACTAACACAAAACAACAAATACTGGTGCTGGTTGGTGTGCATTAAATTAAATTACACTGCATTAAATCGTCTTATCAACATACAAATATGGGTGCCCAAAACATTGTGCAGCCATCATTGTGACTGCTGTTGCACTACCAGCCTCAAGCACTCTTACATAACCTACACTGCGGCCCTACATGTTAAACAAGGCAAAAGATTTGAATTTGCTACTTTTTTACACATACATAGAAAATCAATCAACAACATAAAGTGTTCTTGAATATGGACCTCCTGATGCAATTTTCACAATAAAACATATACATTTGACTAATTAATATTGTTGGTCAAAACTTGTCAAGCTTGAGTTCATTGCATCAGAATATGGCTTAGATTTACGATGGAAGTAGTATTTGTTTCTAGGGCCATAAACCTTCAACGTATGCAATTAATGTTTCCACTTCTAATGCAAAACAATTAATGCTACTTCTATTTAAATGAACATGATGAAAAAGGAAATATTTTATATTTAAAAGAACATGAATAGTTGTAAATGAACTAACTTTTCCCGTGAATTTCTGGTTGTGTATGGGTCTTCTATTTGTAGCAGGTGGCCGAAATCCAGTCCATATCCTTAGCTGTTCCTTCTTAGCCTGAATATCTGCATTCTTTAGCTTTTTTTTGGTTTCAGCCCCAAGCATGTTCGCACTCCATTCCATATACTTTGCAAACCCCTGTATGAAAAAGTGATAGGAGGTGCTCGACGGTAAGTTAAATTTAATAAGAAATAACTAATGTAGCAATATTTTATTGGTGAAAGGACAAGCAATAATCCTTACATTTTCTATAAGCTCAAGTGCTAAGTCCTTATCAGTATTTCCATCACAATAATACACAGAAGCAAACATGTTATCAAAACTGTCTGTGCCCCTCAATATAATCCGTACCTACATAGAATGTGAATATATAGGAATTATATTATTCAGAATGTAGTATTAAACTCTGAATTGTAATAACTTAATGTTAATAGTGAACAAAGCAAACTTACTTCTCTGTTCAGAACTCTTGTCTCGGTGAAGTGTTTGGCCTCTCTACCGAACCTATCTGGTGGAATTTCAGAATAAGTAGATGATGATGGTACGAACTTCTGTTCTGCTGCCATAGGTACTTGAGCTGTTGTTGCACTGTTCACATCAACATCTCCAGTAGCTCCAGCTTGAGAAGCCATACTTGGAATGAATGCTCGTCTTCCCATAGATGGAGCCTATGATATGAGTCCGACAAACATTTTTTGTTCAAAAATGTTCAATTCAATAAGAGGTAAAGGAAAGAGTAAAAAGACAACAGACAACAAGAATAATGTTACCTGAACTCCAGCAATATAAACCTGAACGAAATGAAAACTAGGAAGCAAGTAAACTCGGATGGTGCTACCATCACGGACTTGCTCGACAATAGCCTCCAAGGCCTTCCCTTTCATTTGATCAAAAAAACCCTCTACTTCAGAAGGGTTGGTCGATGATGGCAGAATTCTAGTTGAAGCCTCTATGATGCCATGTTCCTAGATAAACAACCAATAAGATATACATTTTATGATCACAACGCAACCAACAAGTGTGTGCTCTAATGCATGTTAACTAGACGTTTGGTAATTAAATTTCATATACTAACCTTACTCCAACAACCTAAACCTTGATCTTTAGCCTTTTCCTCCAATCTTAGCAATTCTGTCGTATATGGATTGTTGTCACCCTTACGACGACCTTGCTCTTTTACCTGGTCAACCAGAATAGCATTTGGAATTAGATGATACATAAAATAGAATATGAGAAGATCATAAAAGCAATAGAGAGTGAAAGATCATCTCACCTTGGCAAACCCGTTGGCAACTACAAGGTATGCAATGTTTGTGTCACCAATATAAATTGTTCCATACTCACGGCCTGGAGCAGTAGAGTCCACTTTAAACAAAACATCCTGCTTTCAGTTTTAGCTCATATTAGCTATCAAAAGCATCAGATGCTATGCAAAAGGAGAGTTCATGAGAGTATCAGAGTATATATATATATGTATGTGTATATATAAAACATGTGGAGTGACCTTTCCGATGCAGAGTTTCCTCAAAAACTCCCTACTTTCCCAAGCAAATGGCTCGTCTGTTCCATAGCGACGTGCCTAATGCAATCATCAAATCAGTATTAGGGCACCACACATGTGAAATCTGGATATGCGGATGTACATGAGATCTTACCAGCCTTGTAGCGATGATGCCCGACAAGGTGAGTGACTTCTCAGGTGGGACTGCATCCCCTGGTACACTGTCCATTATTAACAGGGTGTCACCAGAAGGCACAGCCTTGACCTTCCCCCTCTTCCAGCCTGAGGATGCCACGGCTGAAGCAGCCATTCCCTGCAACCAAGAACGAACCAGATGATTAGAGTACATATGAGCAGTAAACCAATCAGAGCATGTGGGGGCGCAAATAAAACAGGAAGTGTGTGCGAAGGTTAGTGCCGTGCCATTGTAGAACCGGCCTGCTGGGAAAGAAGCCCAGCAGCGCGGCAACTGTGACAAAACCAGCTGATGGCATGCGATTAGTGGAAGCTGAGAGGCTATATACCATGATAGAATAAGAATTTGAATGTGGGAGAGTACGTCTCTAACTGTATTTTTAGTGTTAACTAGACCAAGTCAACATAGAGCCATGGCACTCCCCAGTCCCCACACACACGCCCTAACCCCCTCCACCCTAATAAAATACAATTGTACAGAACACCATCTAACACACCATCACACACAAAAAATACCAATATTTTTTTCCAGACCGACACCAGTAGCTTCATCTGACCCAGAAGATTTCTTTTATTAGCCTGGAAGGGGGAGGGGACATGCACGACATGCATGCAATATATACGAAATTATACTTATATAAGTCAATATATGCTTCAAGCTTCATGAGATCTACTATTGTAAGTTTAGAATTGCCTGCGTGCACAGAGACAGAAACTACCTGCGAGCTCCGCCACATCAAAATCAAAACTTTGCTAGGGCTTGCCTCATAGATAGGTTTGCTAGATTCTACTCGTTAACCCAAAACTGTGCGTGCAGTCCAAAAAACTTGGGAAAGAAACCGTTCCTCGCCAACTTCTTCCTCGTGCTTCGGCGTCTCCACGCCCAGGCCCAGCTCGACTCAGGCTGGAGCACGTTGCTGGGGCCGCGGCGATGCAGACCAGCTGGGTGACGGTGGCGCGCTGCCGCAGCAGGGTCGTTCTTGACAACCAGGTGCGCTCCCCGTGCTCGTCCCTGCCATTCCAACGTCAGCTTCATGGCAGGCGACGTGCACACGGAAGCCGCGTCCCTGTCCCTCCTGTCGAGCCGATCCCGCCGCGAGCATCAGCGCCGGAGCCTAATCCAGTAAGAGCAAGAAGCAAGCCAGCATAGCAAGCAACCGGTGCTCCTCCGCTGATCAGATGGATCGCTGGGTCGGTTGCGGTTCGCTCCGTGGATCACCCACCCCCATCTTTACACAAGATCCAAAGGAATCTAGGCAGAAAACGAGATAATTCCACTCCAAAACCTATCGATCTACCAACACACTCAGAATTAACCACAAGCAACGGACGACGCATCCATCAGCGTTCAGCGAGGCCTTGGGACGGCGAGGGGCAGATCGATCCATCCCGGGACGAAGTACGTACCTCCGGCGCTTCTGCGAGCTAGCGAGCGAGAGCTCACCCTCCGGTAGCTAGGGCCGAGGAAGAACGAGACGCGAGGGGGACGGAGGCGGCTGAGTGAAATTGGAGCGATCGGCTTTGCCGGCCTATTTGTAGGGGCAGCGGGCTTGGCCTTGTTGGTGGCCGGATTGCGGCACTGGTGTGGCTTAATTTATCGTGTCCTTTTCGGCTTGTTCGGCCGATGTAGCATAGCAGGTCTTTTTTTTTTCTCTCGTCAAAACTGTCTAGAAAGACTATAAAGGAATTATCTACTCGGTGGTACTAAATCTCGCTCCTACTCATATATCCATATCAGATACGAATTATCCTCTACTTGTAGCTCACGTGTCCTCGTCATATCCGGTTCCCATACGAAGACCGAGTCCACATGTTCACGTCTAATGTAAAATCCTCATAGCTCAGCGTCTATGTCCGAATAACGAGGTTCAGTCAAAAAAAAATTATGACCTCAACGTATGGACATATATCTAGTACTAAAATATATCCATAATCCTATCTAGTGGGTATCTGGAGATCTATTTGAAACGTACTTAATTAATCCTATATCTTGTGGGTACCTGGAGATTTTAAACGTACTCGATCGTATCAAGCAAGGAGTGACAATATGTAATCTGAAACGAAATCATGTTAATTAATTGAAAGAATTTATATGGCCCTTCTTGCATATATAGTTGTAATATATTGCGGAGAAAACGTTGGACGAAAGAGTGTGCGAACAGCTCTAATTAACTGCATACTTGCATGCGCCTATAAGCTCTAATGAGATTGACATTAATAATTGAGTAAAATACACCAGAAGTCTATTAACTTTTAAGGAATTGTCATTTAGGTCCATCAACTTTTAAACTGCATTTCTAGGTCCCTAAACTTTTTAAGTGATTCACCGTAAGTTCATACCCCTTTGTTTATGTTTTTATTTTACAAAAAACTCCCTCTATTTCTTTTCCTTTCACATGGTTGCCCCTGTTCATCTTCTGATGGCACGGGTAGTGCAAGCCGAGTGTCGAGGTGGACTTTGGTACCACCGCAGTGGGCATGGGCGGGAAGCTGCCGTCGTCTAGGTACAAGGGCTTGGGCAGGAAGCTGCCGCAGCCCAACGGGCAGTGAGACCAACACCGCGCGCCTATGACATCGCGGCGCAGTGGTTCCGCAGCCATAAGGCACAACGCGGTCACCAGCCCGTTCGGGGACGCCGATCCGGATGCCGCCGCGGAGCTCAGGTTCCTGGCGTCGTCCTGTTCCAGAACCGAGGTTGTTGACATGCTACACAAGCGCGCCGCCCCGAGGCAGCGCCTCCCGTCAGCGTCCAAGACAGTGCTGGTGTTTGCGGCCTCGCCATGTCGTGCTACGAGTGCGTGCGTGCTGAATTGAGACGGTGGCGCGTCGTCAGACCAAGATGAGGCGTTCAGAGAATGGAAAGGGGTAACTGTGTGAAAGAAAAAACAAACATAGGGATGTTTTTGTAAAATATAAATATAAACGAAGGGATATAGACCTACGTTGAACCACTTAAAAAGTTTAGGTACCAAAAAATACAGTTTAAGAGTTGATGAACTTATATGACACACTACCAAAAGTTAATGGACCTATGGTGCATTTAACTCTTAATAATTTATGACAAAGAACAATATCTATATCGCAAATTCTTGCACATGGTCGTCTGTCCCGTCTGGATTCGTGCCTTCTTGGGCCCGCGCAACGGACATGCCCAATAGCACCTCTACATCTCTTCAATCTCTGAAACATTTCCCACTCACACTCGCATCGGCGTCGCAGCATCACCGCGCATACGCTCGCCCCACTGCGGCCCCCTTTCCCCACCGCCTGCCCTTCCCTCCATCGCGCCGCATCCCATCGTCGGTCGCGCCGCACCCCATCTCCCACGAGTGGATGGCGCTGGACGACTACGGCCGAGCAGCAGCGACGCTGGAGAAGCCGCGCCGACGGGCGCGAGCCTGGGTAGCGAGCAGGCGCGGGAAAATCACAGGAGGAGCGATGGGTCGATGTTCGGCAGTGGAGGTGTACATTGGGCCAACACCCCCCTGCCCCGAGCTTGCTGGCTAGCGCAATTCCCCACCAGGTAGGCCATGGCCGCCAGCGACGCCGTGTTTCAAGTGTTTCAGGCATTCCAGATTTATGTTTCAAGTGATTGATCTGAAGGTTGCAGAAGATCTGAGATGTTGCATATGTTGCCAATGACAATATACCCATGTTGCAAGAGTATGTTTTCAGTGTTTTAGGTGTTTTAGACGTATGTTTCAAGTGTTTTATCTAGATGTTGCAAAAGCAAATCTGGGTGTTGCATATGCATGCATGTTGCAAGAGTGTGTTTCAAGCGTTTCAGGTGTTTCATATGTATATTGCAAGTGTTTTATATGGATGTCGCATATATTTGCAAGGACTATCAGGTGTTTTATAAGTGTTTCAGATGTATGTTGCATGTGTTTCAGCGGTTTTGAACATATATTGCATGTGCTTCACCTAGATGTTGCAAATGCAGATCTAGTGTTGCACATGTTGCAACGAGACCCATCTGCTACAGTCGCCTGTTGTAGCTGCTAGGGCGCCATGTATGCGCGTGAGAAGCAGAGGGGGACGGAGGCAGGGGTGTGTGTGGGTCCTGAGCGCGTGATGCGGAGGTGATGGAGGCAGGAGCGTGCGGGAAGTAGAGGGGCGCAGGCGTCTAGATGGGGAGGCATGGTGCTTCCCGCGTGCGTGCGGACACACGTGAAATGGACCAGTAGGCGCCAGTGTCCGGACGTGAGCATCCGTTTGGACGTCCAGACGCTAGCCATACCGTATTTATATCTACACCTGCATAATAATATTAAAGTGCCAAAATTTCTGCTCATTTGTGGCTTGTAGCCAACCGTAAAGCCACTCCCTTTACCTTCACGTGATACACAAATGCTCGTTCACGAGTCCGTATCCTTCCCAAATTCTGTGTTGTATTCAATCTTCGTCCGCTACAACTCCACCAGACAAAAAAAGCTTGCATGGCCGGCCTCAACCAACATTCGCTCTGTCGTCAGGGCCTTCCGCCTGCACGTGCTCTCCATCCTGCAGCCTTCTCCACTCGTTATAGCTCCTCCGTCTCTGTATCTTGCTCACCGATAGCCGCTGCCGGGGGGGGGCGGCGGCAGACGCTCCAGCCTCATGTACTGCGACGAGCCCGCTATGGAGTGGCGCGATGTCCGCTGCGGCGGGCGGTGGCGGGGGGCCTATGAGCGCTCCTGCGATGCGTCTACACGGACGGCGACGGGCCTACGAGCACTCCGGCGATAGGTCTACGCGCGGACGGCGGCTGTGGCAATCACCTCGGCCTCCTAGCCCATGTGCGCGCGCCAAACGCGCTGTGCTGCGTGGCGTGATGCTAGCAGCCAGCCGTGCGTCGTGCCGTGCTCTACCTTGCTCTGAGCGCTCCTAGCCTGACGTCATGCCTACGCAATATATGGCCGTTTTCTCTTCTCTTAGAAAAATAAATCCAGAAATTCTTTAGAAGTACACATCGAAGGGGTGTCCCAGGCTCCCAGCAACAATTATCTTATTACCCTTAATTAAAATAAAATTAGTTAGCGACATATATTTTACACATATCGGATGGTTCAAATAAATTATATTTTAGATTAAATAAAAATAGTTTAAATCACTTTAATTACCCTACAGACATGT